AAACGAAAAATGTGGGGAAGAAATTGAGCTAATACAAGTTGACCTTTCATCTTCTCTACAGACTGCGTTAAAAAAATATAGAGAGATAAAATAAATTCATATGTATGCAAAATATGCTGATGAATATGCAAATACCGAGAGCACACTTTATGTGAGCATTGTATATGACAAACAAAATTCACAAGTGTCATTTCAAATCTACGAAAACAATCCAAATAAAGACGAACAAATATATACAGAATTCACTGCAATGTCATGGTATTATTTGCAAAGAATGTTAAATCAGAAAGTCGAACTTCCTTTAGCAAAATATTTACAGTCGATATGCAAGAGATGAACCATATTTATTTAAAGATGTTTTCGACCAAGATGCTATATTGTTCATTGCTTCATTTTCTGGCGCCCAAAACTCTTTCTTATGCTGGCAAATGACTTTTACGAAAACCTACAAAGTTATACGAACCACACAGTGGAAGTATTTCAGACTTTCAAGTATGGTTTACTACAGATGGAAGAAAAAGAATAATTCCATTATACCATACGTTTTACTTAGAACTTAGTTTCATATACAACTACTATCGAACGTAAAAAATATAATTTTTTAATATGGTTGAGGTGTTGGATTTGGTTGCCAACTTGACTGTGGTGCAGGTTCAGGCTGTGTATAACAGGAGCTTGTTCTTCTGGTTCAGGGTCTTTAGGTATAATACCAACAAACTGACCTACTCTTTTACCAATATTTTTGACTCCGTTCCAAATTCCTTTTCCTACGGTTTTTATTCCATTCCATATACCTCTTCCAACTCTTCGAAGAAGTTTCCAATACTACTGAAGAAACCCATTTTACTATATGTAAAAATCTAATGTCCGCCTAGTCTCTTACGTTTCCTGTTGAGTTCCATAGCATTCTTTAACTGGAGCTCATACATTCTGTTCTCCTCTGGTAGAAAACAATTCTGGGTCAACTCCTGTGTTCGCGTCATCTGCATAAAGTTGTTTATATCCCACTTCAGGGTTTGTATAAAACTCTTTCCATCTCATATTTGCATACCATGGTGGCAAACCTAACGCAGCGTCATTTGACATGGCAGTTTGCATTTGTACATCTGTTGGCACTTGACCATAGTTTGCCATTGCAGTTTGTATTCTAACTTCATTTGGAATATTTTTCCGGGTTTGGTTGTCCAGGTTGCTGTGCATTCGCTAAGTTCTGTGCGTCCATTTAATATTAGATAAAAATATCTCTTACGAGTACATATACTGAACATTTGCAGCATTGGTTCATCTTCATATTCTCTGTACTTTTCTGCCCGTCAAATAAATAAATGACACAATGGGAAAAAACCTAAAACAAGTAGTCCTATTTCAAACCACATTTACTTACTAATAAAATTTCTTTATTGTGACACTTTCTCCAGTTTATAGGACCTCTCTCATATTCTATCTTGTCATTATATAAACCATAGTCATGTATGTCCTCTAACCATCTCATAACGGTTTCCAAACCACTTTTTATCGGATGTAAAGTAAAAGCATGGATGGTTATGTATAACGTCTAAAGTTTCTAAAGAGTCTCTCAAAGTCCAGTCTACTTGGTATTGAAAATCCCATGTGTTATAGAACGGCGGGTCCACTATAAAGAAAACATTTTCCTTGTCTTTATATTTTTCATACAAATCTGTCCAATGACATCTCACAAACTCTATACCCTCAATATATTTTTCTATGTCCTCTTTGAAAACATTTGTATAGTTAAGATATAAACTTTTGACATAAGTGTTTCAATGTCATGAACTCTTTATAGCACCACTATTATAATAGTCTAGCAGATATACTATTCCAGTCATATATTTCTGCTTTTTTCAAAACCTCTCTCACAATATTTTTCTTATCTAAATGGTATACGTTCCATCTTACCTATAGGTATCTTTTCTTTTAACTCTTTCAAATATATTATGTGTCTGGAATATGTTTGAGACGGTCCATATAGTTGTCGAAGTCATTGCATATAATCTTTGAGTCTGGGAATATTATATGGCACAAATGGGATATATAAAACTTCCACCGAACAAATCTACAAATGTTAGACCATTCGGTAGTTTCTTAAGTTCTCTCAATATAATATCTTTACATCTACTCTTATTTCCAAAGAACGGTAACGGGTGGTTTTGTAAAATTCATTTATATATAATAATAAAAAATGTTTTTACCCGAAAAGTGACAGAAAAATGACAAAAACATGAAAACATATATAATTTGTGAAAAGCAACACAAAAAGTGTCATTTAAAAAGTGACACCATTAATATGATGTAAATAACAACGGTTTTGGTTTTGTCACCGGCTGGTCGGCTGGGTTCGGTCCTCCTCTTGGGTCTTGGGCAAAATTCTTAGGGCTAGGGGCACGAAGTGCCTGGAAGCCCCACTACCTTTTTTTTTTTTTTTTTTTTTTTTAAAAAATAAACTATAAATTTGAGAAGATAAACAAAATTTCGTTATTTATAATTGAATTCACGTCATTAAAAAAGTTGAAATAATTGATATTAGTATATCCGAACATGGAAGAGGCAGTTGCATATCCTGGTAATATTTTAATATAATTTGTAAAGAAATTTGCAATATGATAAGTTGAATATTGATTTTTCGTACAATAATACTAGAAAAAATTTCTTTCTTGAGTAAAACTGCGTTTTGGAAGAATTCAACGTCAAGAATATTGTTTTAATCAAAGCAATAAAATGTATCGATGATATAGAGAGAATTGTCACTGCTGCTTATGAAACGTAATATCTCATCATATTGATCGGAAAAATGTTGATAAATAAAGGTATTGTATGTTATCTAAAGCTTTAAAATGAATTAATTTTAATGAAAAAATGAAAAAAATCTGGTTAATATAATGCGATAAATATTCGAATAAATTTTCAGTAGTATCAAATCTATTTGAAAGATAATTCGAAGAAGTGATATTTTGAATTGTGAATTTTAATTATTGTTTCATTTTGTGTAGATTGCTCGATAATGAAATGTATCAAAAGATTCATTGAATATGAGTCAATGGAAAAGCTTAAATCCTTAGGGATATCCAAAATAAATCTAATAAAAAAGATTTCGTCTTGAAAATTAGCTTCCGAAAGTTCTATTTCAGTCGGAGCTGGAAGATTCCGATCATTTATGAATCTCGAAACGACAAAAAATTTGTATTGTTTATATTTCATTATTCGAAATGATAAACTTCAAAATCTAAAATTTATTTTTTTACAATATATTTCATCCTATTGTCAAGGCTAAATTTTTCACCGGAAGTGTATCAAAAATTGATAAGATTTACGGTGATCTAATTATGACAATTCAATGCATCTCGTGATATAACGCAGATATAAACACAACTGATATTGCATAACTAATAATTGAGTCAAATAACTAAATTATGTGTTATATTTTACATATATTTCTTCAATTTTGTAATAAATGGATGTTTAACACTAATTTTTTAAGGACTTCGACTTTAGCATCACATAAATATGTTATTTTCTATATTAAAACGTAAATTTTGGTGGTCTTAGAATAGAAAAATATGCAATATTCGTGGAGATAATGAGGGTTCTTAAACATGTTCTTAAAAATAAATAAAATAATACAAATCTTTATTCAATATTTTGATATTGTTGGTCCTCTCTTTGTGAAAATTAGGGCTGTACAAGATTTAAAAAAAACATTGCCGGGTTACCGTAGAGGCCTAAAAAAATCGCGCCTCGGCGGCAAGCCGCTCGGCATTAAGAATGCGCATCTAAAATTTTTATATGCCTTCTTTCTTATTATTTTCCCTTCCTTTTTTTCTTTTTCTTTTTTCCCTCCTCTTGCTCTCATTTACCTTTTTTTTCCTTTTCTTCATCATTTTTCAAAATTTTAAATTTTTATCAAAAATCTTGCCTATAAAAGCAGACTATGGAACCTTTTAATGCCTCTTAATCAATATTATACAGCATAAAGCATATTAAATGAAAGTAATTACGTATAAATTTATTTTATTATCTTATTTATTAATTCTTTAGCATGTATTGTTTAATATTAACTTTTCTGTACATTAAATATGATATCTCCAAAGTATGAATGCCTTGTAACGAAACGAAAACTTAATTTTATGTTGAATATTTGTCACAAACATTAGATTATTAAAATATATGTTGGATATCCTTAGTATGAGACTTCATGACTCTTGTAGTCTAACGTGAGCTTTGGATTGCAAGCTCTGTGGTTAACGAACATAAATAATTGTAAAGTTTTCAAATTTTTCATCGTTCTATCAGCATCTATTTTTCCTTTAAAATAATATATTTGTTATGAATACAATATTTAGTAATTTTTTTATTTCCATAAATTCATTCAAAATTTCAGAAAAATTAATTTCTATTCATATTATTTCAGCTTCAAAACACTTCATTCTTATAGATTGTTGATTCACTAAAGTGTGATACTCAATGTCTTTATTTCAATGAAAATTGTTCTGCAAATTTATTTCACTTTTGACCTCACTTTTTCCGTAATTCAATTTTTTACGTTTAATATTTTAGATCTTCATAATATCATTTTGAAAAATTAACCATATAAAAAAATCAAGTTAACAATTCACTTTTTCCGTAATTCAAAAATCAAAAATATAAATAATAATCTTTTTTATCAAATATTATTATTATATTCTATGAAAAATGAGGTCCGGAAATTTTGCGGATTCCCGTAACTCAATTTACGGAAAAGTGCAGTAAACTATTCAAAATACGGAAAAATTGGTGTAAACTAATGATTTTACGGTAAAATCACGGAAAGTCCCGGAAGAATATATGGGCCATATGAAATTATACAAAATGAATCAAACGCATTTTAAAAGATTGTTCTGTGTATTATAAATGCTATTCGCAGATTATTAGTTGAAGAAAATTACCAAATTTTTGCGATTACAAAAAATGATTTACAAGCATAGTTTTTATAAGGCGGTTTAAAAATGGAAGAAGAGGAAGAAGAGAAACACGAAGAAGAGGAAGTTTGGGCAACCCTTGTTGCCGATGACACTTACGAAATTTCCCAACCCTACCCATACCAAATCCGCAACAAGGAGACAGGCAAGGTTCTTACCCCAGTCCTCAACAACTTGGGACACTTGAACCTTAACCTTCGGAATCGCGGTTCAATCTCCATGGGCAAGCTTGTCGCAATTCAATGGGTTCCAAATCCAGGCAAGAAGACGAAGGTCAGACACATTGACGGTGACAAGCTCAACAACCGTAAGGAGAACCTCGAGTGGTTCTAAGAGTAAAAAAATTTTATTTTAGGGGGAAACCCCAAGTAAATTTAGGCGTTTATTTGGATAAGTATGTGAAATTAAGGTCAATTTGCAAAATTAGTTCCCGACCTTTGAATTGGACTCTTTCGTCATCCCAGTTGCGTAGGAGGTCGTCCCAGAGAAGTTGGTAGAATTGCCAATCCAAGGACGATTTGTCCTCCCAGGCATTGAGGATGTACTGCTCGTAGAGTCTCATGACCTCTCCCTTGCACCAGACACCCTCTCCCTTGGAACGTAAGGCTTCTTCGAAGTGCTCGAATGCGATTGGCTGCGTGACCATCCGAAATGACACTTTTTGTCCGTTTGGTCAATGTTCGTGTCTCGTGCCATAGTCGACGAAAATACAGACAAACAGGTTATATATGAGTTTGAGACCAAGAATGGTGTAACTCGACCTGTCCGATTCAAAGACTCCGAGGGCGACCATGAAATTAAACGGAAATTACCTAGGAAGGAATATAAAATGGACTGGTTGCCACCACCTCCACCTCCACCACCTTTACCTGTTCCTCAAGTAAATAAGCCTTTCCCGTTCCCAAGAATTCCCACATTTTAATTCAAATTCGAATAAAAACGTTTTTATTTCATGCAATGTTTTATTTCTGTGCCGTCTTCAAGTATGCCCCAATATTTCCTTTTCGATATTACATGAACTTCGGAAAATACCTTGTCTAGCTTAAAACAGCCCATCTTTTCACCGACCATTCCCATTTCAATGAGTTTGTTATAGCCTTCTTCGTTCGTCATGAGTGCGTCAATGTTCTCATAGTAAACCACAACTTTGGATTTGACTTCGGAGAAGAATTTGTTGTAGTTGTCAAGGACTGCCTTTGCGAACTGAGGGTAAGACCAATGTTCGACAATAGGTTTTAATGTGGTTACTAAGCCACTTTGACCTTGAGTGAATTCGTACTTCAAAACAAAAGGAGAAAACCTTTCAACAAAGTTGTCGACCTTCTCATAATGTTTACTCTTCATCTCTTGAGGTTTTTTAATGGAATATCCCCATGTCGAATTCATAAGCAATTTGAGTGTCATTGCAAGTTTGGGGTTTGAAGCTTTCCTAATATCATACAGTTGTTGTATGACTTTTCCAACTGTATAGTTCCTTCCCGGGAACTCACCATCTTCGTTTGGAATTCCAGTCGGAATATATTGGACAAACCTCATGTATGCAGCGTTAAGGTCGACATAGTATATCTTTTCGTTTGAGTCGAACTTGTCGCAACCAATTGGTCCAGTTTGTGGAAATTCAAGTGAGTCTCTTATCTTCTGAGAAACTTCTCCTGTTATCTCATAAACATCGTCGAAGCAACCTGTTTCATATAAAACCTTCTGACCTAACTCAGATGCTCTCCAATACAATTTGACGTCAATTGGATGTCTCAATGGAAGTTTATTTATAGCATCTTGAAGTTCTTGCAACCTCATTGGAAGTTCTTCTGGTTCAGGTTGGTATCCGAACAATCCAACTCCTTGTGGAATTGTGTACTTCTTTTGTACTAGAACTTTGTCTGGAACAACTTTTGGTCTTGCTAACAGTGAAAAGTTTGTTTCGTCTTTTGGTACAAAAGTTTCTGTCAGCTTGTCATCTGGAATTGGTTCCAACAAACCTTTCTCGAAAAGAATGTTTACAGCTCTGACAATGTTGCACTTGCCTTTTCCGAACAATGGGTTTGTAAGACTTTCGTTCAACATGAAGTGGTTGTGGACAATTACAATCTTCAACCATGGTAAATTGAACTCAAAACAATAGTCGTCATGTGAAGAACCTTTAGCTGTAGGTATGTTGACTCGGATATTGACATTTGCCAACGGTGCAATTTTTGCCAATTGACCTCTGAGCATGTACCTTGTCTTCACACATGACTCAAGATACTTCATCTTCTCATCTGTAACAAGACCAGAGTTCCTGAGACATGTAAGAATACAAGGTTCGTTGACAATTGTTTCAATTGAATTGTAAATTCCATACCTTGTCAAGTCAATGTCAGACTTATTTATGAAGGGGAAGTATCCAGCATGTTGTCTGACTGCTTGAGGGTTAGGTTGGTACCATTCGAACTTGACACTTGCAATTCCTTCAATTGCATTCAAAATGTCTGAGTCTGAGTCAACCATTTGTTCTCTCTTTGTAGTCTTGAAAGCGTCAAGAAGTTTTGCGGCTGTTTGTTCATTGCCATGTGCATAGTAAATGTGACCATCCAAATCTGTTATGGTCAATTGAGATTGTGTCCTTTCTTATTTCCGTCTTGTATGGCAGCAAGTACTCCCATGAAGCCTTCTTTGTTCTTTCCTTCGTCAAAGTTTACTGTAAAGGTTCGACCAGATGTAATTTGACTTCTAACTTCACGATACTTTTCATATGCATATCTTGTTCTTTCCATGGGAGCATGTGCGTCTTCACCTTTTCCTTTTTTCCTTCTCAAAGGATGCAATTGTTCGTCATGTTTCCAGTAGAATCTGGCAAAGCCGTCATGTCCTTCAACTTGAGGTTCACTAACATCGAAAGGCATGTCCATAAGACGTTCTTCTTCTAACCTCTCTAGTCTGTTTGGATAATTGGCACGTGCTGTTTCCAAATCCATTTCGTAGCGAAGACCAGACAATTTGTCATAGACTTTTATGGGTCTTCCCTTCCTATATTTAAACTTCTTCGAAACTCTCCAACCATATCTTTGCAACTCTGCTTTTATTCTAGCAGATTTTCTATCCATTCTATATGGGGGCATTTTTATAAAAATAAAAAAATATTTTTTTTCTTTACTTTACATAACCACCTGCTGCCATAAGTCTTTGACGCCAACCCATACCAGCTAATGAAGGTTGACTTGGTTTAGTTTGGAAACTAAACTTTGGTTTTGGTTTATCTTCAGTTTTTGGTTTTTCTTCTTCTATCGGTTTTTCGTCACTTTTCGGTTCCTCGGGTTTTACCCCACCTGCAGGAACAGTTGTGTCGTCAACATCTTCATAAATATCATATGCCATTTGTTTTTGTTTTCCTTTCAACTTTTTGTGTTTGTTGTAAAGTTTAGAATATTTCGACTCTAAGTCAATGAGATGTTCTATAATGAACTGTTGGTCAGTGAAGTAAACTTTTCCATCTGTTGTCTCGAAAGCTCCTTCAGACTTCAATATTTTATTTGTGAGAGTCTGTTTCTTTTTTGAGATACTAGCCGTTCCATTTCTATGAAAAGTGACTTTATAGTTAGGGTTTGTATTTCCAGACCTGGCACTTTCTATTATTGAATTTTTCTCTTCATCTGTAAGTTCTTTGACAGGTTTTGACAATGGTTCTGAACTTTTTGTTTGTGGTGTCAAATCTACCGTTTCAACTTCTTCGGTCATTTCATCTCAGTAAAAAATTTTAGTTTGGTTTGTTTTCAACTGGTTGTTTAGGTTTTTTAAGTCGGTCTAAAACTTCCTGAGGTATAGGAAGAACTTGACAAACACGTGGTGTAACTGCTGGAAGTCGACAAATCCATCTTGAACCCATTTGTCTCAATGCTGTATTGTTCATTTCATCTCAGTAAAAAATTTTACATTCCCCACGTTTGAGGTGGTTGCGGTTGGTTATTGTTTACCCATTGTTGTGCATGGTTATATCCTCTGTTAAAGAATCTTTCACCTTGGTCCATATAGTGTCCTGCTTGGTTATAGTAGTCATTTGCTTTGTTATAATAGTTTCCTGCTTGTCTTCCTACATTGTCCATCCATCCTTGAACTTTTCCTCTTGTTTCAGGATTTGGAATAAGATTTGTTGCATCTCGTGCTACATCCCAACCTTTCTGTACAGTTTGTATAATAGGTTGTGCTTTCTCTTTAAGTATACCTAATGTACTCAAAATCTTCCTTCCAATTCCAAATGCACCTCTAGCTATTGTTCCCACTGCGGGCAAAAATCTGGATGCAACTCCTGCTAATGCGCCAAATAAACCCATTTCTTATAGGGTAAAAAATGACGAATCCAAACAAGGACCCCTATGTTTCTAAAGCGACAAAGAAAGCACTCATGATAAAAATCTTTAGTTCAACACCAAATGCTTGGTTTATGGATATCTTGGAAAACATTCCGAGGTATAGAGAAGATGGACCACCATACTGGCTAATATTTGTTGGTCAAAACACAAGATACTGTGAAGCCATACCATTATGGTCCAAAAATATTTTAGATGTGAAAACTGCTTTGACAATATTCGTTGACAAATACCATCCAACAAAACTGACATCTGACTGTGAAAGTTCTTTCAAATCAGATGATATTAAAAACTATCTGCGTTCAAAAAATGTAAACCAATATTTCATTGTCGACCAAAACCATTCTGCTCTTGGTGTCATTGACGGTTGTATAAAAATATTAAGAGACTTAAACCAACCACAAGGTGGTGAAGCAAATGAAATGTCATATGACGACAAGTATAGACACTTCTCCATGGCAAAGATGAGACAAGTTTTAAATATTTACAATAACCGTAAACAAAAAGGTTTGGGAAACCACTCCCCCGAAGAAATGAAAAACAACCCTGACTTAGAGAAAGACTATATATTTAATAATTTAGTCAAAAGAGACAAACAAGAAAGAATGCCGGGCTTCAAACTTCGGAAGGGTGACAAAGTAAAAATAGAAATACCTAAACGCGACCCATATGAAAATACTATTGACTATGACAACAATGGGAACCCGACAGGTACTCACATTCGTGTTCGTAAAAATAGAAGAAAGTATACAAGAGAATATTATGAAGTTTTAGGCAAACATGGCAAAATGTACACACTGCAAGCAGAAGATAAAACTACTATTGTCAGACCTCGTTTCAAACTTGTCAAAGTTCAAGGTGGTATACTTTCAAAGACAGTTCCTAACAAATATAAGACAACTCCTGACGAATATGCTAAAGAAGTTGAAAATGACGACTAAGCATTTCTATACCATGCGTAAACTGTCATGTAAGGTGGCATGTATTCTT